TTGAATTAATTTATCATACAGCAGTTTATTTGAAACTTTTCATCAACCAGACCAGTCTCCAGGACTTGTTAGTATGTTGGTTGCATTAGTCTTGCAGCTGTAAGAATACTATTTAACACCTTCTTATCCTTCTTTATGTAGATTGATTTTAACCAAATCATGTTCCCCCAGGTAAATAAAACTGTCACTGCAACCACAGATCTTAAATTAATTTTCAGAAAACATTTCAGCACTATAGATCAAAGCATTATGTTGTACAAAAACTATATTGGAACAGTATGCTAAAAATTCTGAATTATATTATTCAGATGAAATTTTGCTGAATGGTAAAAAAAGTAACAATAAAACAGAGACAGTGACCCTTCAGCTACTTAACCCTGAAGCTTACTAATATAAGTGGAAATAATGGGGTCTGACAGTTCTAGGTTAACTTACAGGAACTCAAAGCCAAACCTAGAGGATTATATATTCATAACTATTTTTCACTCACTATACATCCACCTGATTCATGTATCCTGCCAATTCTCCCCTTCAACCAAATCACTTCATAAAGCAATACAATATTCATATGGAGGTTGACTTGATGCACAGTATACCATTTCATTTTCTGGAAACTTAAAGGTAGTTAATCATACGTAGGTGTAAATCATGCATACAGATAATAGTTTTCTACAGTCATCCCATATCTTTAATTACCGAGCATGACATCATCATATTGTCACTATATGTTGTTCAATGTGTATGTAGACCTTCTTTAAATCCTGCAACTGCTCAAAGTGGCAATCAGTTTTAGTAAAACATATCTCAGTGGGTGCTGAAATACTAAGTGATGTGGTGACACTAAGGAGTGAATTATTCTACTAACAAAAGGTATGAAACGCTTGTCTAATAGGCTGTACTTTGGAGTGCATTCGCTGCCCTAAAGCAAATCTGTAACTAAAAAACTAAATGCATAACAAGGATAACTTCCAAAAGATAGAAAAGTCTCGAACCAGGAGTTGCTTAATAATGTTTCATTGCCTCCAGTGCAAGGTTATTTTCTTTATTTCAGTTTGTCCTGGCAACAGATTTCTGATGATTACTTACAACAGTTAATTTTCTTAAGTATCACTTAATCCCTAGCACTGTACCTGGAAATGGAGTCAAAGGCTTTGACTTTCTATAGCAGCTTCAGAACTTTGTTCTACCATCTCATAATATCAGAAATATAATCACTTTGGTTCCCTGTCAATGCTAACAGCTTTCCAATCATTTCACAAGCAACAACGCTACTAAAGAACCTTCTCTTTTTTAAACACTTAAATAGTTTATCCTGTTCAGTCTGTGCTCTCCAGATTTTATAATCTATATGGCTTATTTCTATAAAAAAGTATGGAAAAAGCCTACAATCAGAACAGGAATTCACTATATTGTTTCCAAACCTCCACCAGAAAATGGCTGAAGAAGCTGCAAACCAAACAAGCATGAAAATCACTAATTTATGGTGCATTTATTTCTTTACTCTTCTTCCCATTTCTTTCTCCAGTCACCTCAGCAGTGCCTTCTGAATGCTTGACTTGGCAACCTAAATAATAATCCTTATGAGAAGCTAGGTACAAACCTTGCATCACATATTGCTTAACTCCTTCCTAGTTTGACAAAGTGCACTATATTACACAAACTAAAATAAAGTGCATAACATCAACAACTTAGTATATACCCAGTGACATAGCACAAAACCCAGTTATTCAGGCTCAAAGGATCACTGTAAGTCACCCACCACTGCTTTAAAGCAATGGTGGAAGTGATTTATTGAGCTCTCAAATCCGAAACTGAAACAAAACGGAAGACAAGCAAACAAAGTTTAAAGAGGACAATACATTCACTGCAATACACAAACAGAAAGAAACCCAACTCCTACCATTGCTGCCAAGTCCTCCCTTTCCTTCTTCATTTCTTCCCGCAGTGCTTCTTTTTCATCAGTTCTTTTCTTTATCTCAGCAGCTACCTCCCTTTCAAGACGATTCTTCTGATGTTCCATCTCACTTTTCAGCTGCTCACACTGGACTAGAGCCTAGAAAAAACTATTTTTTTTAAGTAGAAGAAACCTAAAATTTTAAACAGTCATCATATTTATCTAATGCCTGCAGAGAAACCAATTTGGTATTAGAAACATCATCTTTTTTTTAACATATTTATTATGATGTTTATACATATCCTACTGTAATTTATAAATCTACTAGATTTTAAAAGTCATGGCAAAGATGGAAGCATTTTTCAGAGTATATTTTCCAAATAGGTAGCTGTACTTCTAAAAGTAAGAGGACTGTTTGCCTTGCATTTAAAGTCTGTGAATGTACACCACTAGAAACAGCCTCCAATATGTGACTCCTAGCAAACACTGAAGGAAAAATAAATAAATAAATAAATAATGTATGCACTTCTACTTATTTTCCCCCTGGAGTGAATTACCGAGTGCAGAAGGCTAAGAATAAACTTGGAAGATGTAAGTAAATATCCAAAGAAACTATTTTTTTTTTTAGTTTCAAGTTTGTCAAGACTAATTCTACTGAAAATTCTTAAGTATCTTGGTTAATTTTAAGTGCTAAAACACAGGTTATAGATGTGTTTTCTATAAAAATAGAAGAAACAAGTTCATATGCAAGAAGCACAGTAGACACTAACTGCTAAAAAAGCTAGAGAAAAAAAGTATCTGTCAATTTATCCTGACAATCCCTGCCAAAGGGCAAGGAGTTGAGTGTTATGTCAGTTTAAATCAGAAATATACTACTCCATTAAATAAATCAAAGTATTCAAAGCACCCTCAAGGAAGCTTGCTAGGCCATGAATAAACTAAATTTCATTTCATCATTTCACTGATACCCAGCATATCCTACTTCAATGAAGCTAAAGTAACTTCCTTTTAGGAATCCTACCTTATTACAAGTGCTTATTATTCTTTCAGTCAAAGACAATCCTCTATATGCAATACCTTTGGTGTTGGGCTGTTCATGAGGGAAGCAAATTAAACCATAATTTCTAGAGAACACTCTAACAGTCTCCACTAGTTTATGTCAATTCTGCAGGACTGTCCTCAGGGTCTCCTTCCTATCGCAAGTCTACCTGGTTGAGGGAATCCCTCTGTTGTTGCCTTAAATCCTTTACTGTAGGAAATTCTCATCAGCACCAGCAAACAATTGTCTGCATAAGACTGGTGTAGTTTGGTACACATGTGAAACAATGCAACTGGAGAAAAAATAAGTTGCAAGAAGAAATGTGTATTTTGTTAGCTACACTGTTTTGGCTACATAACAACCAGTTAAAAAAAAAAACTACTCTTCTGTGACATTTATGTCGAAAATACATTCCTGTATTTGCTTCAGCTACGGAAGTTCAACTTTACCAGATCTCCTCGTTGCTCTATGTAACAGGCAAGAGGCCACAAACTACAGAGACAGTCCGGAGACAAGCAAAACCAGTGGTTTTAAATGATAAGCACCTGAAGTTAGACTTTCTGTACACGAGGTGATGAAATTGCAATTATAACACATTGGGCTTCCAAATGCTAACTCCTCACTTTTCTTATCTGGGCTGTTCTGTTGGATTCCATGATAATCACAGAGTAAAACAGCACTTTACCTTAAGAGTAGAATAGGACTGGGAAAATAAAGGATGGTTTGTACTTACCAAGACAAATACCAGTATATGTAAAAAATCTAAATTAATGCAGTATGAGTAAAAGATTCCTTCCTGTTCCTTCATATTAGAAGTTTTTGAGCATGGTAAAAACAGACTACTGTTCAGCCTTGTATACCAACAGATAGCACTCCACATTTCCTTGCTGCAGTGAAGAGGGTGGCCAGCAGAGACCCTAAGGAGCTGCTTTCTTTATGTGGGAGAACTAGCATAGGTACGAAGACCCATTTTATTAAAAGTTCTACTAATATGTCCTACTAAGTTTTATTCTTAAGCCAAATGAACTTCTTCTAACATGAGCTACACTGAATAAGAATTTATATGGATTTTCTTTTTAAATATTTAAATGAATGTTTCTAATACCAAATGAAAAAAGAGGAAGATCAGATAACTTCACTTTATTGCACAGAGGAGGAGAAGTATTTTGTGCAGCTTTAAATAGCAGTAAGTAAATAACATTTCCATCAGACAACTACAGAACCTACCCCAGAAAAGTAAACAAGCAAGAAATTTAAAAATTGATCCCTTCAGGGACAGGATGCGGCCGGTGAACAGTGGGCTCAGGGAGATTTTTTCTCTCTTTGTTCAGTAAAAAACTAGGTGCTATAATACTCTGAAATTAAATTTAACAAGTACACAGGATTTCCAGCTCTCATTTTTCCCCCCCATTGTTTATAGTTAAAGACTCTACACACACACTTTCTTACAGCATAGGATGAATAATATCAATTTGATCAACAAAACATTTATACCAATTTTTTCCACTATTAAAAACAACAGCATTTCATTAAAAAAGAAAAAAAAAAACACCCTCTCTCCATAGTTCCATAGTAATTCACTAATAATACAGTAGATGTCACTAAATATCAAGGAAATAATTTAGGTCAATATTGGTTGATTGGATATAGTAAGTAGGGCTAACACAAGCATTAGACCAAAACTGGTTTAATCTTTATTAATTACAAAGCACCAGAAGTTTCCTGTAGGTAGCAGCAGACAGGACTTCCCATCTTCAAAGAGTTCTGTTAGCTAATCAGTTCTTGCACTGCACTCATCTGAGGCAAAAAGCTTGTTAGTAAGCATTTTAAGTATTCTTTCCAGAGTAGCTCAGAAATATAAGAATTATCCTCCTATGTGTCATGAATGCCTTGGAAAATTCTACCATTCAATCTCTATCACCTAGCTGTGAAACCACGTCAGCACTAAATTGATAGCCTAAGAATGCAACACACCCTACAGCCTCGATGAGAATTTAAGAACTCAAATTTAGAGTTCATGTTACTGCTTAGAAAGACTCTCACAGTGCTATCCTTTTAAACCTACTACATTGTATCAACATGTGATTGTCATAGCTTTACCCTGGCTGGCAGTAAAACACAAGAACCGCTTGCTCACTCTCCCCCTCTTCCCTCCCACTGATGGGGAAGAGAATTAAAGGGTAAAAGGAAATGTTATCAGCCTTCTTCTCAGCAGAAATCCAAAACATAGCCTCATGCTAGCTTCTGTAAAGAAAGTTAACTCTGTCCCAGCTGAAACCAGGACAGTGACAAAGGTCTTATGTGTGTATTCTCTCATTAGCGTGAAAACTAATTAATATGTGCAGTAGATCTGAATACTGAAAAGCTCTCACTTCTTGATGAATTTACCTTTGTTTTTTCTAAATTGGCCTCTTCTGCCATTTGCACAGCTTGTTTAACTTGTTCAACAGCATTAGATTCTCTTTGCTGCATCTCTTTCATGTTTTGTCTCAGTGAAACAAGTGCATCCATCAAGTCATCTCGTTCTCTGCATAGAAATAAAAACCAGGTATTTCTTCTATATTTTTTCTCAAGAGAAAAAGACCAATAGGTATTATCAAATATAAAATGTTAACAGAAAAAAGAGATAAGGGTGGTAAGTGAAGCAAGACTAAAACCAGCATGGGTTAAGAGTGAAAGACAGCATAATGCTAGCCTGGCAGATACCAAAAATATCCTTTGCTTGAGGACCGGTCCTTCACTTCAGAAGGATGGACCATTAGTGAAACCGCCAGTAATGACAGCAGAGCTCAAGTCACAAATGTACTGAAGCTGAGCAACATTCTGTTGGCATGACAAAAGGGGGATCCATGCTAAAAAAAACCAAAAAACAAGCAAACGCAAACCAAAAAAGGGCAAGTTTCTGAAAAAAAACAGGTCAAAGCAATATGAAGTTACACTGTCACTAAATGTAAAATAGGGAGAAAAAAATAAAAGGAAGGGTTAGGTTCAAAAAGTAATTCAGGTCACTAAGTATATCAAACGAAAATCAATAGCCCTTTGCTGTGAACTAGAATTAAACAATAAAGCTTCTGGATTCTATGCTGCTTCTGAACTTTTGTTAACTAAGAAACTGCAATCTATACCAAATGGTGAAGCACAGTCAGTAAAACTGTAATACTTCACCTTTTCATTATTTTGATATGTTGAAAACTTTTAAATTATGAGTATAATTGTCTGTGTTTTAGGTACAACTACAGATTCTGGCTGAAAACTGTTGTGTCTGGGTTTGGGGTTTTCTTCGTGTTGTGTGGAATGGTAACACAGTTGTATTTGCCAGAGAACTAACAGTCATATTTTGAAATTTCATTTCAATAAGATTTGGACAAAGTCCCTTTGAAAATCCCTACTCAAATGTCTTTGTTTTTAATAAGTTGTAACACAAAAGATGCAGCTTTCAGATTTTGTTAAGTGTCAAACTGAAATAATGGTTTAAGAAAGATAAACAGGTCAGTTCAGATCTTTTATTTCAAACTGCACTATAATGTAAGACGACAAGAATGTTCTGATTTATGGTTTCTTCATATTTTCCAATGTCTGTGACAAATAATCACTTTTGAAACATGACTTTTCAGCAACAGAGAGCTTTCCCAGAAAATTCTTGGACGTGACAATAGAAAAATACATAAATCCTGGCAACAGCCATCTAATGCATAAAGATAATATCAATTTGACAGACTACATGTACTATGTCCTTTTAGTCTTCTTGCTTCTCATTGACCCACTACCTTATCTCCAGCAGGTTCATTCTAAAACTTCAGAAATCCTAGGAAGCTTCAGACACCTGACAATAAATAGATGTCCATTTAACAAACTTTGAGAAAGCTGCAGTATCCTAGCATTATTACTAGTAAGTAAAAAAAGGAGATATTTTTGAAGATCATTTACTAGCAGAATTTCTTAAGAAAAAATTATTTTAATGCTGTTGTGATTTCTGAATTATATATATTATATTCAGCCTGTATAGCTGGTTTTTAAATAATTTAAATAAAAGCTACAATTAAAAGGCTGCAGCAAGTAATTCCATTCATTTTTATCCAAAGGAACTTTTTTCCCTGACTTATTGTAGTTAGGGAGGAGCAATGCATCCTATCCCAAACATCTGACCTACTAAGCAAATTCAAGGGCAAAAAAACAAGGATTACACTGCTGATATAACCTAAAAATTCCTCAAATGTAGGGAGAATAAAGTGGAGCCAGAAAAACTTCTAACTACAGAAAGATAAGGAACTTTTGCAGGAAAAAATCAATCAAAATATATGGACTTCCACAATATTTGTTCCAACAGAGTGAAGGGTTTGTTTGTACAAAAAGTTCAGGAAACAGACCATCTTGGTTTTGAACCGCTGGCTAGCAGCCAAACACCACAACAACCACTTGCTCACCCTCTCCCCTCCCCAAGCCCGGGGATGGGTGAGAGAATTAAAGGGGTAAAGGGAAAAGAAACTCGTGGGTTGAGATAAGAACAATTTAATAACTAAATTACAACAAAATTGGAAATAATAATTCTAATAATAATAGTAGTACATAATAATAATATACAAATGAGTGATACACAGTAAACCGCTCACCCGATGACCAAGACTCAGCCTGTTCCCAGCTAATGATCCTGGACCAAGGAGAGTCCCGAAACTGTAAACCCGGAAAGGAGATAAGAGCCCAAGTGTCCAAGACCAAGAGCCAACCAAGACAACGTGATGACCCCGAGAGAAGGATGACACAGGGAGAGAGAATCCAGAGTGAGAGGGGATGACCCGGAGCAAGACAGAACTTCCTGAGAGAGCCTCATCTATATACTGGGCATGACGTGCAGGATATAGAATATACTATTGGCCAATTTGTGTCTCAATCCTAAACTAAGATCGAATCCTAGGCTAGTAACCAGGGCTGTGCTCCTTCCCAGCTTCTCCTGCCCCTGCGGACACTGGCACAGCAGAGAAGCTGAAAAGTCCTTGACTGTCCTGGCAGCAACTCTAAACATCAGTATGTTACCAGCCTTCTTCTCAGCACAAATCCAAAACACAGCCTTACTAGATGCTATGAAGGAAATTAACTCTGTCCCAACCAAAAGCAGGACACAGACTATGACAAATCTGATTATCTGAACAGGTTAAGGCATCATAACTACAAGGTAATGACTAACATTCCTTCCCAGTTGAAATAAATAGCATAACTATCATGGATTTCAAAGTGGTTGGGAACTAACATTCTGCCATTGATTTCAGCATTGTAACTTCAACTTGTGAGTACATTGCTCCATAAACACACATCTATGAATGCAACGCAACCCACTGAGACATACACTTTAATTTAAACCACTGTACTTTCAATGAGAACGTAAATACCCCCACAAACTTACTTTGTTATCCTCTCAATGGTCTGCATGTGAACATTAGAATGAGTCTGTGCAAGAACTGCCTCATCCTGTGCACATTTCAGACACAGGCCACCAACCCGGCTAGAATTCATGGCTGAAACTAGGGACCTTTGGTGTTTTAGCCTTCCTTCCAAATCTTTACACGTCTTCCGAGATTCTGAAAGGTCTTTTCTAGAAAGAATAAATAAAAAATATTATTTGAGCAATCAAACATTTCTACGAGTTATATTTGTATGCAATATATAATTACAGATACAACCTAAAAAGAACTGGAAGAATCCCCGTAATTAATGTTATTTCACACATTTAAGTAGGCTAAGGAAGACTTTAGCAGAGGAATAACAGTTGAATTGACCAATCAAAATTATTAATAGACAAAACAAAATTATTAATTTGTTCCTTCCCTCTATAATATCAGAAGATAGTGAAGTTACATGCAAAATTATTAGATAAAACTTGTAGACTTATATATTGTCTGAACAGAGTAATGACTTCATTAGCAAGAAACACCACGAGCTGTATAAATATTTCAATACCCTAACATTTTTTTCTGTTGTTCTTCTTAATAATATCACTAATTTCACATTTCTTCTCTACTCTCAAATTAACTGTAAAGTTACAATACAAAGTAAAAGTCCCCTATGCTCCCCAGACAAAATCCAGATGTATTCAGGACATTTGCTCTCATCCAGCAATACATACAAACTTGAGATCAATCATGTCTCCAGAAAAACAGGGCAAGTTTTTTCACTTGTCTCTGAAATTTTTACCAGGTGCTCTGAAGAATTTTCTCCAGAATTTCCAAGCATCTGTCAGGCTGGGGAGAGCACAAGCTGCAGGAAAGGAAGTTCCAGACAAACGCACACTGTGCACATATAGATCAACTTGACAAATTGTGCAATGAATCCAAAGCTTTTGGTTTGTTATGCAGGCCATCTGGGCAGCATACACATAGTAAGTCTGACACGTTCTGGTTGCATTGGATTTACTGTACACACGATATATACACTGCACGCATGCTTATTTCCATCTGGGAAATCTGTGCACTTTTTCCAATTCTAGTAGTTCGGCTATTAAATATAATCCACTATAACCTGAACAGAATTTGCTCTGAATATATCCTTAGACAGTTATGGTACAACAGACCTATTGTTGGGAAATCTTAGGCAGAAATCAGCAAGTCCTATGTAGATTCATGTTTCAAATTAAAAACAAGGATAGTCCCACTGAAAGCAATGTAATTTCTCACTTTAGTTAAAATATAGCAAATGCTCAAGTGCTTTGCAGAACTTACAGTATGAAAGATCATGCCCCGAAGGAGAAATCAAGAAGCTGAATAATGCACTTGTGGAAATTTTCAGACTATTTGAGCCTCTAATATTTATTCCTGAGTGCATATAACACTTCCAGACAAGGTGGGGGGTGGAAATCGGATTACAAAGCTGAAATTTAAGATCCTCCCTTACTTTCACTGGCACAAATGGCTTTGTACATTGCGCTGGTTTTGGCTGGGGTAGAGTTAATTTTCTTCACAGTAGCTAGTATGGGGCTGTGTTTTGGATTTGTTCTGAAAACAGTGTTGATAATACAGGGATGTTTCTGGTGTTGCTGCTGAGCAGTGCTCACACAGAGCCAAGGCCTTTTCCGCTCCTCACACCACCCCACCAGCCAGTGGGCTGGGGGTGCACAAGAAGCTGGGAGGGGACACAGCTGGGACAGCTGACCCCAGCTGACCAGAGGGATATTCCATACCACATGGTGTCATGGTCAGCACAGAAAGCTGGGGGAAGAAGGAAAAGGGGGATGTTCAGAGTGATGGCATTTGTCTACCTACGTCACCACTACAAGTGATGGAGCCCTGGTTTCCTGGAGGTGGCTGAACACCTGCCTGCCCATGGGAAGTAGCAAATGAATTGACACACACACACACACAGACACATTCCGCCCCGCCCCCTCCGCCCTTTAATATTTTGACAACTTCTTTTGAAATATTTTTGTGCTTAAAGATATGCAGGTTACATGACTGGAAACAATGCCCACATGCTTCAAAGCTAATATTTTCCTGCTCCGAATTCATTATGTGGCCTAAATCAGTTTGATGCTTAAGATTTCTAAAACTTGCAATACAAAACATTATTAGAAGAAACATAATTATGGAAGAGCTCACACAAGTTAAAAATTTAACTTCTCTTTTTTTCTTTGGTTGGTCTGCCTTAATAGACTCAATACTTCTATAAAGAAAGAGAGCAAAAAGGATAAAGACATTTTATATGATGTTGTAATTTCTATAAATACAATAATTACATTGAATTTATAAAATTATATATTGCTAATGTTGCAACATAATATCAGTGCATTCAATTTTGCCACATTCATATCTGAGAAAATTCCAGGTAAAACCAGCTTCCAGGGACACTATCAGAAAACACAACATTCAGACATACTCTTACTTAAATTCAAATTAAGAGTAGCTCATGTTTCTATGAAGTGAAAATTTATTAACAACAATTTTAAGAAAAAAAGACATTTCACTTTACCTTAGAGACTGTATTTGAGCATCAAGGACATCGACATTTTCTTGATAAAGACGTTTTAGCTTCTCCTTTAGAAAAGATGGAAGAAAAGAAGTGTCTTTTGCCTTCTTCCTAATATTGTCTTTACAAATAAATCTAGACATTAGCTACATTCATTCCTTTCCTCTGAAGATATAAACTTGTTGAAACACTAGTGTCAGAGAAATCTAAATATTTCACACTCGTGAAAGTCTACAAAATGTACAACTCTCCCATTTTCTTATTTCTGTACATCTTGCCAGACCTTCATATGGTAAATTGCTCCAGCTTCAACTGCAGCCATCTACAATGATTTACAAAGATAGACGATATCATCTCAGGTTTGCTCTTACTCTCCCACAAGTCAGCAGAAATAAAAGAGGAGGAACTCTGAAGAACTTCAGGTAGACAGGTGTATTGGGTCTGGCTGAGATGGAATTAATTTCCCCATAGCAGCCTTCAGAGTGCTGGGTGCTGCACTGGCTAGAAAGGTGTTGATAACACCAGTGCTTTGGTTACTGCTGAGCAGTGCTCACACAGCATCCTGGCTGTCTCCCCAGCATCCCCCACCCCCAGTAGGCTCAGGGCCCCAGGGCTGGGCAGGATCTTTGGAGTGGACATAGCCAGGACAGCTGACCCAAATTGACCAAGGGGATATTCCATACCATACGATGTCTGCTCAGCAATAAAAGCTAAGGGAAAGGAGGAGCAGGGGGCATTACCTTTTACGACATTTGTTTCCCAGAGAAACCACTATGCGCATTGAAGCCCTGCTTCCCAGGAAGTAGCCGGACATTGCTTACGGATGGGAAGTAGAGAATAAAATCATTGTTTTCTTTTGCTTCCATGCGTGGCCTTGACTTTTTGCTTTATTAAACTGCTTTTATCTTGACCCATGAGTTTTTTCGTCTTATTTTCTTCCCCCTTGTTCTGCTGATGAGGTGAGTGATAGTGTGGCCTGATGGGCACCTGGCATCCAGTCAAGGTTAACCCACCACAACAAGCTATTTATAATCTAGTGAGTTACTCTTATTACCTGGTGAAGCATCAGGTGTATAAATTAAAGACACCAATGTTAAAAACAACGGTGATAACAAACCAGATAAAACACCAGAAATTTAGCTCACTATGACATTTACAAAGAAGCCACAATCAATATTATTCTCTTGCATACAACAGATGAAGAAAAAGTGCAGTTACTGTAAAAACTAGCCTTCAAACAATTGCAGGCACTAGGTTTTCAGCTTTAGATGAGGCACAAGAATACATTTTACTAGAAAAATTGATCAATACATATAATTATATTGAAGAATTAAAGTGCCCTTTAAATTCCACAGCACACGTATGCATATGGATAAAATACATCAAAACTTCCAGTTAACCATGTTTTTCACAAAAGATGGCAATGCTACTCCACTAATTTAGAGGAAAAAAAATTAAGAATATCTTCTCAAACTAAAAACACAGAATAGCAACACTATTGTCTTTGAATCCCTAGGGCTCCTCTGTAACAGTAAAAGCGCAAAATGTGTAATTCAGCTTAGGGAAAAAAGACTGCATGAAGCGACTTTTGCACCTTACTGAGCTTGTGCTGCTCCAGGAGCAGAAAAACCCCTTGCAAAAGAGCTTGCTTGGAGGGCTACCCCATCTGGTTCCCACCTGCTTATGCACTGTGTTACTACTAAGAATCTCCAAAGTACAGTGGAGCCATGACTGACAGGATATTCTCAAAAGAAGGCTTCTCTCTGGGAAGCCAACGTCTGCAGATACAACTTGCCATCTATGTCTAAATGGATACTAATATTAATTACTGTATAACGAGAAGATGAGGTTTAAGAGAATAAAATTTGACCTCAGATTAAGGTTCAGTCAAACAAAACTCCTCCTGTATGTCTGTTACTGAATTAATCACCAGAACTACAGCGACAACGAAGCACCAAAAGGTCTTGCAAAGGTATGACTCTGCAAAGAAAGTTAATACCAACCAGTTCTATAGGCCATTTTATTATTTCTTCAACAGCTGCTGTAGCAAAAGCCTGATCTTTGTTGGGTGCTGGTGATGATGTGACAGGCTGATGCATGCTACAGTCATTACTACGTAGAGGCCAGGATTTTGGAGTATTTGCCTAAAATCAAAAGATTCATGTTGCAGTTACAGTTATGTAGGCTGTTTTTTTAAACAAATTATAATTATATAAGTGTTGAATATTATAATGTTAATTACAGTAGAATATAAGAACCAACAAAGAAGTTAATCAGGTGAGCAACCTATGATAGTGATGTCATCCACAGAAATCGAACGTTTACAAACTCTCATTAAATTTTGACTAAAATTCAGTTTGTGGATCACCATTTATATAGCTTTCCTTAAAAAGAATCAGACCCCTGAACACTGACTAAAACAGAAAAATAACAACTTACCGAGGCATCTAGAAGAGTTTGTTCTCTCAACGTATGTTCCGCAGTTAAGAATTTCAGTTTCTGCTGGAGTTCCTCATTTTCAAGTACAACTACTTTTATTCGATCTTTCATCCCACCCAATTCCTCCTATAGGATACAGGTACTGCATGTAAAAGGCTCCTTGAGAAGGCTATAAACATTTAAATACATCTTGAAACCAAAAGTCTCAATTAACATTCTCAACTGTTTTAACCCTTTTAGAGAGAGTAAGAATACTCAAAAGAGATTTTATATTTTTGTAGTTTGAATTTCCATATAACTTCTTAAAAAAATTCCTGATTTTTGTTTGTGATAGGACTTAAAAACATCTCTGAAGACCCTCAAACACTACATAGGCACCAAGATGCATGGCAAGGCTCTGTTTTGGTCAGTGCAACAACCAATCTCAAGACTAGGTATAAGCTTGTTTTTAAAGCAATTCTTCATATTTAGGGGACCAGGGTTTTAGCGGGCAAAATACGTTCTCTAATACCTTGCAAAACTTCACTTCTGCTTCTAAATGGTTAATGTACTGTGACTGATCATTGATTATAGGAACGAGATCAGAAATGGCTGGTAAGTCTCCAGTAGCAGCTTCTGGGGGTTTCTGAAGGAAGTAAAGAACAGAAATATGTTATTTTCCAGTTTTCCAGTTATTGTAATAAGATTTTGCTTGCACACAGAATATTAGGCACAGTTAATAAAAAGTCACCAATTACTAAATCATGATGAAGAGAGAAACAGCAAGAACTTAAATTCTTCAATACAAAAAGTAAAAATGTCACTTCTATCAAAATGTACAGCTGCTTGATTATGCACATCTATGAAGCAGGATTAAATCATATCCACAAACCGATTTGTAAATGAAATTTATACCACTATTTAAGTGTATCATCCATTTTAGACAAATGTAAGGGGGTATTTTTTTCTCTGTGGAATTAATATAAAAATCCCTTGAATTTTAATTAGTTGTGGATGTGCATCAAACGCAACTCATCTAAATCGTTAACAATTGCTACAGAAATACAACTATGTCTGCAATTTTCATACCTCCGTAGAAACACAGGACCATTTGTAACGGATTACATTTATCAAAGAACTTGACTACTGGTATTTTAAAAGACAATTCTAAAAAGCCCTTCTGAATACCCTATAAATTTTTGATAGCCTAACAAACAACCAGTTAAAGAAGGTAATGAAGGGAATCCTTGCCCATTCAAGATAAAAAATTACATCTATGCCTTGCTCAGCAAGATTTAAACAGCGATTAAACTTTTTACAAAATGTGAAAAACACAATCACTATAACTATACACTCCTAAGAATACAGTAAAGATAGAGAATGCAAGCAAATATTACTAAAACACCCTTAAAATCATAAATTAAATTGTTTCCTGAAAACTACAGCCTCTCTTGATACTATTAGCAATAAACAATCCTTGTCAGTCTAATAAAAAGGACTTATTTAGAGTGGATATAAAAATATTTTTATAGTTTATTTATTTAGTTATAATGAAATACAACATACTTTAAAATAATTTTAATGGAGCAACAGTATTAAGGATAAATCTGTTAGTCTGCAACAAAACTGCCTTTGAATAATCACAAAAATATTTGAGTGTTTACTTTCAAATTTAATTAAATCGGCTGCTATCTGATCTTCACTCATCCTCTTTATGTATTTCAATATTGTTTGACTACCTTAGCTTCATATTCCACTACTGCAAATTTCATCCACTGGAATTACTAAGTATAGTCTAATGCCTGTTGACATATATGAACTATTTTAATTCCTGAACCTAAAAGAAAGTATATCAATGGAAGCCACAATGTTTTGGTTTGTTGGGTTTTTTAAAACAATTAAGACAGTCAAACCGGGAAATGTCTCTAAGTAGAACATAGAGCCTCTTATACAAAAGATGTCTGTTTTTTTCACAAATTTACTGAACAGTTCTTCATTTGTAAAAGGGCAAATCTCTCTTCTCATACTCAGGGTATTTCAGTATAATTCAAAGCAAAAGGTTAAGGCTTCTCATAATCTAAGTTTCCTTTCTGTGATCTTTGGGGAATCTGATTCTTCTTATACAAGAAGCATTTCTGCAGTGTACACTGCAAGCCACTGGACAAGCTTGTATTTTATAAGGGTTTAGGGGTTTTTTGGGGTGTGTGCACTTTTGTACTTCTACATTTTTTTGAGCTTTACACTTGGTCTGTCTTCAGAGCACCTTCACATCCTGGTTAGCAAGCAGATGGTGGACAGTTGAAAGGGAGAATAAAGGCCATCACTTCACAGAATCCCTCTCATGGGAAACCTCAAGAGAAAGAAAGGGGACGATGTCCTATCAATACTGTAAACTCCCACCTTTTCTCTGTTTACTCCTCCATCCTTTAATCCACTCCCTGAAAGCACTATCATGTGTTTTTTAGAAAAAGTATGCCATTTTCTGAATTTTTCCCCTCTAATAAAATTTCCCAACATAAGTAGAAAACTTTGACAAAGATGGATTAAAAGACACTTTCCCTCCCCTCCAAAGGCTAAATACAAATGGAAACTGATTCATGTCATGTCAAGATCAACCAATGATGCACTGTTTCCTTGAGCTACAAAACACTTAATTCTATCCTGCACCACTATGAGACAGAAGTACCTGGCAGGACAACCAAACTACACTCATAGATTTTAGAACACTCAGAAAAGTTGAACTTTAAATAAGATTTCTCAATGTCAGAAGAGTAGAGCTAGGCTCATTACACGGGCTCAAAGCAACACAGCAGGAACATAGGCTTTAGATTGCTCTGCTGCTACTTCAACTTTGACAGCAAAGAGCTCCTTGTCGTGCTCCGTATAAACCAAAAGTAGTTAGTGGAGGCATTAAAAGATAAAACTGGAACAATGCTTTTGAACTATTTTCCTATAGGGATACCAGCATCTAGCAGTTGCTCTGTAACTGAGTCCTCTATTGCATGTACTTTGGTGCAGTTCTGCTGCAAGATGGCTAAATCTGAGAAGCCCATGTAAATGTGTAAACTAACTTTGACAGAGACCACTGCATTTTGTCAGAGAGTTACAAAACCTGTTGTTACCTGAAAATCTCTAATCCTCTAAAGAAAAAGCATAGTTGCAGCATAAGAAGACCTTTGAGAATCTTTAAAGTACAGTCAAAGGAAAAGAGAGGCTACTTTTAGAGAAATTTGTCCATGTAGTCAATCCCAAGTGTTTCCAAAACAAAAAGAATGAACTTCTGGTGGAAAGAGAAAGAAGAGAAAGCTGAAAGCAATGTGGGTTGTGACCCACACTGTATGGTCAACAAAAGAGGAGAAAAGTCAAAATCCCGTATTGTAGATTTATTTTTCTTCCACTATGGTCACAAGCATACCAAGTTCTGGCTATGGCCTCAGGAATATCCTGTATTTCAGAATATAAAAATTATTCAGTGCTTCTTTTTCTTCCTGTATACCAGAAAATTTATCTCATCATGCATGCTGTTCATTCAAACCACACAGAAGAAAGAAGAAGAAACATACACAGAGCGACATCTTCCTCCTTGATGGAGAGACTTCACTTTCCATTCTTTCTTCATGTTCCAACAAAATTTTAAGTTGATTAACTAGGAAGAGATAAAAACATTTACCAAAACATTTAACAAAAAAAAATTCACTTTTTTCAGGGAAATTAGTGTAATTTCTATCATTTTTTAAATATTTGCTTTCAGAGTAATCTTACCCGCATGACTGTACTGCAGTTCCTGCCAAGCTGCATTCCCACTGTCATTACTCCTGTCCACATCGTCACTGCCCTCGTCCACAGAGGACTGGTCAAATCCAGCTTCACCCCTTGCAAATTGCCCTTCCTTCAAAGCATATTTCAGTTGATGGATGCTTTCACTAGCACGCTCTGAGAAAAAAAAAAAAAACAAAAAAACAACAACAAAAACAAAAAACCACCCACATAATTAGCCACAATAAACAATATTTAAAAAGTATTTACTGACTGATATTTTGAATTTGAAAAAAAATGGGAGAACTAAAAGCATTCAGCATCTGTCTAGCTTGACTACTTGTTCTAAACTCAGACAATGGAAGCACTAATGCAAACAGCCAAAACAATTACTGTATGTCATAATCTGCATAAGAAATATTTACTACATTTTCAAAGAAGCAGCTATAAATAGCATCTTAGTCTGTCAATACATTAGGACTCTGCAACAGCACAAGTAACAATATACTTGACCCCAAAATAATTCCTAGCATGTGCAGGTTCGATACTTTTCAATGAACCTAAAGCTCAGGCTATATTTCACACAACGTGCAGGATCTGGCACCAAGAACAATATTTTTAAATTCTAACGACAAAGTGATGTATTAACACAACCAAAAAAAAAAAAAAAAAAAGAGTAAATAAAAAGTCATCAAACCAAGCCAACATAAAAGGGTGATTAAATAAAGATGGATGACCAAAATAAATAACACTCATCTTTCTAGAAAAAAAACCCCACAACAAATACTTCCAGATAAATACAAATATTTTTATGAACCCTTTCAAGAACTAACTGACTTAGTGGAGGGTGATATAGTAATGGTCTTTTCTCAAGATATTTTTTCTTTTTTTTTTTTTTCTTAAATTCAGCTGACTTCATAAAAATCAAAACCTTTCCAATCATAAAGGCCATATCACTATACTATAGCTGAACATTTCCAATATGCCAGAGAATAAATGAGAGACTTGCAGCTGAGAGATGACAACTGAATTGGGAATCAGAAAATACAGGCTTGGTTTTAGATAACGATACTTCTAGTTCACACTGTAGGACCTCAGGCAACTCACTTATTACTTTCTTTCAACTGCCCATGTACAAAGGGAGACGCGTATTTCATTTTTCTTCCCTTTAAGCAATGTATACACTAACTGGAAAAGACAGAGTAGCAACCTAAGTAGCATGGCTTTATGCAATGCTCAACAGTGCTGAATCTCCAGGTTCTGCTGTAATACCAAGAAAATGACCCACTCATGTCACAGAGCACACACGCTTGGTGAGACAGTCCTCCATCACAATTCATAGCCACTTCACCAGGAATATATGAAGACATGTTTCTTTTACATTTCTCCAAAGTAAAGCCACAGTCATTTGTGACTACCAGTCAAAACTACCCAGAATCAGAAAACTTTCATTAATAGTTAATAATTATTAACAATTTAAACCAAAACAAAAACTCCACACTCTCAAAACCTTACTTGACTTTCAGAAACATAAAATCATAGCTATCTTCTTCATTTAGCCCTGAATTCTTTGGAGGGTTATTCTTCCCTAGGACTACTGCATATGAAACATGGTATAAGTGCCCACAGAAGAGGAACTTCACTCTTGTGAGACAAAGCTTATAAGGTAACATCTTTGATTGGAACAACCGCTACAACTAGAAAATTGGCAAGCTTTCCAGCACATGTCCTTCACTCATTTTTACATGTTTGTAATCTGTAAATTTATATGATGCATCAATAACCAACTGAAAATATTTTTTTCTCATAGGCAAAAAAATAATCACAGTTAAGCATTTGCTAGGTATAATTCAGAAGAAATGCCTCAGAGTACAATATATGCTGCTGGTTATAAGCGTTAATAGCTCCTTTCTTCCAAATGGAAAGGTGAACAGCAGTTCAAGTCAAAAAACAAAAGCTAGATATCTAGCCTTCACTTTATTTATATTTTATCTTGACTGCAGTTGTGAAATTTATTTTTTTCCTCACTGTAATGGTTTTCACAGTCCTTTTCAGCCTTTTTCTCTGCTTGGTTGTAACTTACCCATGGCTTATAAAATATAAATCCCCCCCCCCCAAAGATTTATATTTAACACCATGGATCTCAGTCCAGTATGCTAGCGATCACTCACTTTTTAAGCAATGCTAGTGTTTAATAAAAAACCTGACCCGTTTCTGATCTATTAATCTTCTCTCAGCATTTATTTTGAGAGCCCAGTCATCTTATGACTTGCATCACCTCTTCTGACTTTTGGGTACTCCACCCTTTAGCGAAGTTAATGTAAAAGAAGACATAAAAAACCACTATTTAAATAGTCACAATTGATTACAATAAATCCAAATAGAATTCACAAGGCAATGACTCAAAAAAAGAGGGATTTAGGTCAAATATTTCACTATTGGCATGCTTAAGATATTCATCCATTCTTGAGTGTTCCAGGATGCTCTGAGGGTGGGAGAGCTAATTGAGAAATGGTAAAAGTATTTCACTGATGCAATGGCTGAAACATTCAGCAAACTATGTTGCAACTAATTGTTGCTAAGAAGTGATGAATGTCACTTAAGTTATTATGTGGCGTGTCATCTGATAGCAATAAAATTCCTTCATTTCGCCATTCCCTGTAGACCTCTGTCAGAGAACCCAGAGTATCAGTATTTGCTCCATAGTCAGTGAAGAACGACAAACCAAAACAAAACCAAACAGGCTCATCTACAGTTTTTCCCAGAACTTCTCTCTCTTTGTAATGTTACAGCTTCTGGACTCCAACCTACCACTTTATCGTCAAAGATAACATAGATCATCTTATGCTATGTCCTCTTTTTCCACAAATACACTGGGCGGTAGCAGTGAAACACATTAAAATCATTATCGATGGCACACGGCTGTCTACTTTTCTCAGCTACACTTTCCTGCCTCTAGAACAACGTCACTACACTTTTGAAAGCTTCATCACATATTTGCCAAAGCTTTTTTCCTTAAAATCTTGCTGATTTACAAATTACAAAAGTTGCTGTCATAAGCAAATCACTCACCACTGGGAGTCAGGAGTTTCCGAGGGTCTGTCTCTACATACACTAGACACCAAAGAGCTAACTGCTAATTCAGTAAGAGTTCCACTGCACATGTAAAAGGGGATAAGTACATTATAACATTTTTTTCATAAATAAGGGACGTCATTGTGGGCATTAGGATAAAAGAAGATGCATTGCTAAGTGGAAAGATTACATTTGTTGTTTCTGCCAATGTAAAAATGTTCTTTTTAAGCATGAAAGAAGCAGAAAGAACCTCTGAGGATGCAAAATACTGGACACCAAAGAACCTCAGCTTCAAGACAACATAATAATTTTGTAATGAATTTAGAAGTCATTGATTTTTAAAAGCTCACACATTCATCCTGTCTTTTTCAGTTAGGCTATTCCTGGCTATGTACTAGGCTATAGTGCATCTTACAGGGCCTCAGTAAAAACACACTGCAGAAAACCGCTCGTATGCAGTACTGTGATTTATGTATCTAAAATTCAATCAGTATTTTTCTTTTCTACATCTTAACAAGACTCTATGAATAAAATCTGAGCATGTATTTCTGTTGTATAATAAAACTTAATGGCTGTGTTATTTCCTATTGGAACAGCTGAGGATATAAATGAAATTAGACTTACCTAGACTAAAACTTCAAACAAAAATTATTTACTATAAAGCTCTTTGGTTTTCAGTGTTTAAAGGATCTGAGATGATTACGAAAAATGGCAATCTAGCAACAAAACCTGACACATAAAAAAAAAAAAGATGCAACTGCTCCACAAAAATGCTGTCATCAACTATCATGTATAAATCACAGGCTGTACTTGCCACAAGGTGCAGGCAGATAACTTATCCAATGCTTTAGCAATGACACAGCTGATCAAACATGTAATAGAAAGAAATACATTACTGCTTATTATTTCAGAGACAGAAGCAACCAACGATCCTAAACCAGGATCAAGACGATACCGCTCTAGGTACAAAGATATTCCTACCCCTTAACTTGTCTAAATGTGAATGCAGCTTTGGAGTACATTAAGTTCAGTTAAGCATAATGCTTTAGAAAAAACCAACGGGGGGGACCCTAACCAAAACATTAATTAATGTTCAAAAAGCACATGCCATCTATCCTACATGCTGAATGAAGATGCTTCTCTGTCTTGAAAGAAGCATTGATAACTCTGGTTATTTTCTGTACTCACTGTAACTACAAAATCTAAGTATCACTCCCTGAAAACATAACAGAGGTATCCTTTTTCCAGAGAAGTATCTTTGCATAAATAAAAGTGGTAGAAGTCTTTTTATATGTGCATATCAGGACTACTGCTGAATAACGATATATTTTTTTTATGCCATAGATATATTACAGATCCATTTGACTTGTCAAAAAAAAATTAAGATAAAGGCTAGAGTCAGGACACTTTGAAGTAACCTACAACATGGAAGAGGTAGTTTTATTTCCAAAGTGGTAATCAGCTTTGGAAAAAAAGAAAAAAAAAAAACACAAAAAAACAACAAAACAAACCAACCAACCTAAAACCAAAAAACATTGAGAGAACAATTTGCCACTGAAGTGGAAACAGAAAAAAACAGAGAAGGCATTGAACCGTGTTTGCATTGCCCAAACAAAAGATGTTTTTTCAGACACTGCCCAAGACTGTCTATAAAGAGCACTCCTTTAAAGGAAAGCACCAAAGCTACCTCATTCATGAACTCAGAAATGCCACAGAAAATAGTCCGGGAGCTAATGGAGAGCTTAGCAGAGGAACCAACCATCCAAAACAACAGAATTGCCTGAAAGACACGGAAAATAACTCCAGCTGGTAGAAGTCCTAAGCAACATAAATTGAAGAAAATGAACCACAATCGTGTGAATAAGCTTTAGATGACAGACTTAAGGCATCTAGCAGTCTAGTTCTAATAATGTTTACAGAAGGATGTCTAGAAGTTACTGGCTATAAAGTCAACAAACAGATCACTTTCTGGTATCTCGCAGTTCCCAATCAGAAAACAGAAAGTTGGAGAAGAAGGAATTACACTGACTCTTTAGGTCATAAAAAAATAACACTGTAGAATTCATGTGAAACAATAACTGACAAAACAGAAAATTAGGCGAGTTAGTAAAAACAAAAAGATGATGCCTATTAAAGAAAACTTTACTGTCCAAAAGTATAGCAACTTTGACTTTGTTTCTATTGACACTTAAAAATCTAAGATAGTACACATGTGCCTCTTCCGGGGTAGCATTTCAGCCAAACAATTGCCTAAAAATACTGAAACTGAGAATTTGCTTGTAAGTTTTTATTGTGTTTTGCACAGTCTTGGAATTTACTTGCTATTCAGATATGCAGCTATTCTTCTTTACCGGCTGCCAAACACAAGTATGCTACCATGCTACTAACACATTACATGGCAGCTTTGAGATTGAAAGTATCCTGTCAATTACTACCTATGCTGTTAGGATTTTACACGTAAATATTCAACAATAACAACAAGTCATACCAAGCTGTTCATAAGCCAGGACTCAAAAAGTCCTAAGACATGTTTAACACTCAGATGTTTCAAAATAACGAAACATGGATCCATTTGACTTGTTTTCTTGGTCTTCATAGTTGCTTTGCATTGTATGAGAAAAAGGTGGTTTTCAATGCAGCTTTTACCAAATTATAATTTTTGAGAGGAAACTGTTCTCTGGAGCTGCAGCATTCAACGTCATGAGTTTCTGTGCCAGACCTTTCTGCAGAGCATAAAGCACACACGTAAGAAACTCCAAGCATTTCCTAGTTCCTTCTGACAGATTCGCCACCCTTAAATGAACATCATGTGCTCTGTTCAGCAGAACACTTAGAAACAATTGCCAAATAAACATAAAAAGCCCAAGCCAAAAATTTACCATTATAAATTACAAGATACAATTTAATTCTTGTCTGATTCAGTGTCACAGCTAACTTCGAAAGCTGGTAACCGGGCCACATACTCATTTTTCCTAGGACGGCCTTGACTTTAAATCTCTCCTACTTTATTTTAGGCATCACATAAAGCAGCCACAGAACGAAACTTTATTTGTAGAAGTCTTATATTTTCATCTGTTCCTCTTATAGCTTGCATCATCATTCTCTGAAATTACATAGGACACTGCACTCAATAATGCAGTGGAATACAGAATACATTTTCCACATTGTCCCAGGGTAGATTTAAAAGATGCCTGTATTGGCCACCATACCTAAAAAGGATGGTCTCCCCCTCCTTCGCTCCTTCTCTTATACCAACTCTGGCCCAAAAGTGAGCCAGTGCTGTTTACTAAACTGTCAGAAAACTCAACATAAAAAAAGTAAGTTGACAGTTCTCTGTCCCAGGAGCCAGGTGAACACTAGAAACAAAGAAGTGGGATCTAAATAGTCTTCTCCATATATGTACTGCTGTTGGGAGAAAAGGGGAAAGTAGCAGGGCGTGATCACGCTCTGCTCTTGGCACTGGTGTAGTAGGAGGCCCGTTGGACATTCACACTACGCCTGCCAATTCTTAGTTATCAACGTCAACACAATAGCACAGCACTTATTCTCCTCTACAAAATACCTCTATTCCCTTGAGAATAACTTTTTATTAGAAATGTTATTATCTGCTAAAGACTTTGAGGTTCATTTGAAATGGTCTCAATTGTGTGAAAGTTTACACAGTAACCTAATAACCCCCACTGAACAAATACCACCCTCTTAATTCTGTATTACACACAACATTAAAGACTTTCATTATACAAGGTCTAGACTATTCAATAAAAGCCCTGTTACAGGAACTTTATTATTTCATCAGAATGTCTCTGTTGGGCTCTAGTTCTGTCTTAGGTTTTTTTGTCCAGCTTTCTGTTCTCTGGCCACCAGACTCATTTTACTGAACACGTGGGCTCCCTGTGAGCCAGTCTTCTGAGGGAAATCCCTTTACAACAAACGATGCTGCAGTGAAATAATCGATAACTCTTTGAGAACTTATACACCCTTCTATCAAACTGAGTAAGGCTGTAAAATGATT